GAGAGAGAGAGAGAGTCCAATCTGCATTGGACACTACAGAACCTTGGGTGTTGGCTGCAGGTCTCTAGATAGATAATCCTTTTGGCGGACTGTCTTGCGATTTGCGATTCGGTCTTCATCAGAAAAGTGCATCAAAGTGCCATATATGATCCTCATAATGTCATATCCGTCAAAAAGGCCCAGGGCCCAAGGTCAATCATACAAAATGAGACCGTTTGCCAGGCCATCAAGCAACTACAAGAGTTCATCGAAAACTATCCTCCGGGACGTGTGGATGGCATTTCGTCCGCATGGCAGCGTCAAATTGGCACCGTTTCGCTCGGCCGGGACGAAGTATGGGGGTTGAGCTCGGTCCCATCAATAAGGGCTGAAGAATGAAGGCGACAAGTATTCTTAAAGAAACGGGTCATTGTTGAACAGTTGGACTATGTTGGATGTAAGTTTGTAGAACCATAAGCTGTTGATTTTGCAGCCCCGGTTTTTGGCGTCAGGTATTGATTCGGGTGGCTGCAGGCTGTTGCAGGTCCAACCGCAATATCTTTATGCGCAACTCGGCCTCGGTGGTTGGTTCACCTGTCCGGTTGGGGGGTCTTGGGCACTTGTTGACAGTCCAGTGATTGAAAGCTCATCAAGGCTAGGTGGCTTCTTGCCGCACCGAGGCAATTTGCTAGCTTTATTGGCATTTTGGCGTGCAAGCAGGAATTCGACTGCGGAACGCCAAACGGCTTGGAAGATTCGGAAGTTCAGTCAGCTGGAAGAATGGTAGCGGCAAGAAAGAAAGACAGAAAGACAGACTAAGACTGGCCAGAAGAAAGGAACACGCCGACATGACAGATTCAGACAGTTTGGTGGCAAAATCGATTTTGAGGTTTGATTTCGGACGTGGAGTTTGCCATTATGGAAAATGGGTCTGTGCAGATCCGGTCGGCCTTGAGGTCTATGGCGCCTGACGCGTTCCTGGGCCGAACGGGTTGGAAAGCCGGAGCGCGCGCACCACATGCGTCATGCGGACAGTTGCGCCCTTTGCTCCTAGTAGCTTCTTGTTCCCAGAGATGCCAGGAGCCCCTAGTAGCTTCTTGTTCCTAGGGATGCCAGGAGCCCCTACCCTAGTAGTAGCTTCTTGTTCCTAGGATGCCAGGAGCCCCTAGTAGCTTTCTTGCTTCTTGTTCCTAGGATGCCAGGAGCCCCTAGTAGCTTCTTGTTCCTAGGGATGCCAGGAGCCCCTACCCTAGTAGTAGCTTCTTGTTCCTAGGATGCCA